CCCCCCCCCAAAGAGTGGAAAGGGCATTGCTTTTGCTGCACAACGGATTCCTCTGACATTATGTAGGCCTAAGGCCTGAGATTTGTCAAGTTGTTACCTATCTCTGGTGATGTATAGAAGCTACTTTTCAGGTGGGATGCAGATGCGATGATGTTGTGCGCTGTTCACGAAATTGGGCTTTCCCTTAATTTCAACGTGCACTGCTGAAAAATGTATTCAGCTGATGATCTAGGTCGGATACAGTCATGATGAGGGGGAGACTTCTACGACGCCTGCGTGCTGCTCGAGTGGATGTAGGTGGCGATGTAGGTCCGATAGAGTTCTGTTGATGTGCTGCATGAATGTATGGAGGCGATGGTCTAGGTCTGATACAGTCATGATGAGGGTGGAACGTCGAGATGCATGCCTGCTGCCTGAATGTATGGAAGTGACGATTTGGGTAGGATACAGTCGTGATGACGATGTGTGGTGCCGGGAACTTGAAACAAAATCCCCACCCGGATCACACCTGTATCGGATCTGAAAGTCAGCTCGATACATTCAAGGGCACTGTGCGCCCTTGTGAACTTGCTAAACTTGGTAGAGGGTGCGTTGTGCCCTCAGATGTCTTCAACCTGGCTTTTAAGTCGGACTCTCTCTCTCTCTCTCTCTCTCTCTCTCTCTCTCTCTCTCACACACACACACACACACACACGCACACACACACACACGTGTGCGCACACAAGAAAAAAGGAAAGCAGTCACACCAGAGAACTAGCGTACCACACAGAGCACACCGCCCATGCGTGTTTTGTGTGTGAAGAGGGCGTGTTGTGCCCTCGGATGTATTCAACCTGGATTTTTAAGTCGGACTCTCTCTCTCTCTCTCTCTCTCTCTCTCTCACACACACACACACACATAACACATATGTGTTGTATTCGAGTTTTCCAACAAACGGGGTTTTGGAAAGTTAAGACCCTTCGAACACAAGGGCACGTCGAATATAAAGCATATGTGTTCTATTTGAATAATACGCATCTGCATTATATTTGAATTTCAGGAAGAGAAAATTGTTGTAATCGAATATAACCTTTTTTTTTCCTCGAAAGTCAATGCCTGCTCCGTTTTTGCCCTGGTGAACGGGACAGGCCCGTGTAGGGCCGTAATCACAGAACGCTGCCTTGTGCTTTCTCTCTCTCTCTCTCCCCATGCGCGAAGGTGCTTCTGACAGCCGAGAAAGTGGCACTTCTGACAGCCAAGAACGTGGCGCGGCCAAGAAAGTGGAAAAATAAGAAAGCCACTCACCAAGGTCTCGCTGCACTACCGAGGTCACCGAGACAAAAAAGAAAGGGGTTGCATTTGTCCACGGTCTAGTGGAAGATTCATTCGCATTTTGCACATTTGCTGAGGAGTGGAACAAGGGCCCAAGTAGGGGAAAGGAATGAAACTCGACCCAGAACATGGAAAGGTGCGTCACTACTTTACTTTTACCTTTTTGCCAAGGCTCTGAGGCTCCCAGCCGTGGTCCAGAACTGAGCCTACTCAGCCTGGACCCGACTCCCTTGTGCAGGCAAAGTTGGTCTCGTTCACTCGAACATAAGGCATATGCGTTGTAAACGAATACAATGCACGGTATGTGTTGTATTCGCTTACAACGCATATGCCTTATGTTCGGGGGAAGACGGTAGCATACCACACCGAACACACCGCCCATGCGCGTCTTGTGTGTGTGCGCGTAATGACTAATTAGCATACTCGGATGGACCGGACGAGCGTCCGGTCCGGTCCTCTTTGCCGCGTGCAGCACGCTCCCCCCGGACCGGACAGACCCGGACCGGACCGGACGGGACTGGACGGGGCCTTTTTTTTCGGGGGGGGGGGGGGGGGGGGGGGGGTAGCTGGTCGTCGGGCGCGCTGCACGGGTCCGGCCCGCCGGTCCGCCGCAAGTGTGGAACCGCCCAGACGGGTCCGCTTGTTAGTATGCTAATTAGTAATTTCTGCCTTTCAGGCTTTCCACAGTTCCGACCTCCAGCGGCCACCTGGAGGTGGACTGGATACGTGGGTAATTTGGTTTGGCAACCTGTTCGTGCTCATGCACACTTAACACGTGCTTAATTACTCATTTTGGGTTCAGGGTTTGAGGTGCTGTCTTTGACATGATGTGGAGTGGAACAGACTTGCATGCCCTTTTATTGCCATGTTATTTCCGGGCTGACTTGCCTGTTTTCCCTGTCCATTTGTTGTGATGTTGTGTCCTGGCACAGGAGCGGAAGGCTGCTTGGCTATGTCGTGTGTGTTTGGACAGTGAGGTATCGCCTTTTTACCACAAAGACCGTTGCTCTGCCGGACCTCTCCCGAATGGCATTTGGTGACCCTTTTCGTTGCGCCTTGCCTTTCGCGTTTTGGTTTTTAGGACCGCTGATGAACGACTTCCCTTTTTGTTGTGTAGGGGTGTAGCCGTTGAACCTCTTTTGTATCCATCCAACACAATTGGGACTTCGGGACTTAACTCATGGTGGTCTGTTTATCACATGCCTGTACCATTCAGCCACATGTGCTGCTGATAACCCTTGTTTTTTTTTGTTTTTTTTTTTGGTGTCATCCTTGCACAGGGGCCATGCTAATTTGACCTCACACTTGGACCAGGATCATGGTGTCACAAGTTCTCACAACCTATATGTAGTTGTACATAAGCAGACTGAGAGAGTGTGCGCTGGGGGCAAGAATCCCACAGACTGTTGTTTGGAGAGGAGCGCAATGCACATGGTTCTGCAGAAGTGTTGTGGCGTTTTAGTCAGTATGCCCTTGGCTAGAGTTCCAAAAGGAGGGTCCTAGGCTACCCCCAAATACAACGTACGGTCAATATAGCTGTATTTAGACTGCAAGATACCCCAAATTCGGCTATAATGACGGTACGTTGTATTTGGGGGAAGACTAGTGTGTCGCAGGAGGGGGGTTTAGGCCATGTCTATTTGTGAGTGAGCCCTGCTCTTAAGAATATACACAGTCTGGCAGTTGGGGCAAGGGAGGGGGAGGAGGGGGGAAGGTTCTGTGAAAATCGGGTTATACGATGTTGTAGGCAGTAATGTCGCTGTATAATGTAGCATGGGGGTTCTGGACCATGGGGCTTGTGCTGTTTAGGAGTGCAATTTCAACAGGCTGGACATGTAAGAAGACAAAAAAGAATAGCAAAGCCCTGCGAAACAGTATGGGGCTGAAGCAACAATGGACCCAGTATTTCTCCCTTTTCCTTTATTCCGGCCATGTGGCGCTTAATTGTCTAATTGTTGTTCATGGAGTTCCATGATCTCCACCTCCACAGAAGGTAGAGTAATGAGAAGAAAACCAAGACAAAAGATAAAAAGAAAAGCGATATATTCTTCCCTCCTCCCCCCCCCCCCCCCCCCGGCCCCCGGGGGGCCAAAAAAAGAAAATGGTATATCCTCCATGCTGTGGGAGGGAGAGAGTTGGGAGAATCACCCTGGCAGCTTGTCAAATGAGGTGCGAGGCGGGGGTTTGAGGAGGAGGGTTTCGCAGCGATGAATTGGCTGGCTGAATGTGTTGTCTCCTGACATTATAAGTCAGATGCGCCGCTAAAAAGAGCGAGTGCGGATGCCCATGCGTAGTATGTGACAGGCTTGATGTTGTACATCTTGTTGGATGTAATGATACTAGGGACATACTCATGCTACAAACTGTGCAGACGTATTTGACTGCATTCGCAGACAAATTCAGTCGCAAAAAGGTTCCTGTTTTGAGTATGCCGTAATGTTGCAGTGCGTAACAGTGGCTGGCAAATGAGCAAGCAAGGGATATGAGGGAAAGGTTGGCGAGGAATGGGGGGTGAAGGGGAGGCAGGGGTTAATGACCTGTGCATCTTTTCTAGCCGGCCACACGTGCATATACTGCGAAACGAAAGAAAAGGGCAGTCCCACCTTTGCTGAAGATTCAGACCTTTGTTCTTCGTTGCACTTTTTTTCTTCTACAGTGAATGAAACGACACCGTATCTCTTGAGGGGAGAAAAAAAAAAATGCAGCAGCAGAAACCCCAGTGTCTCTCTATAGTATTAACCGACGTGGACTTTGACTTTTTGTGGTGATTTATTACAGGTCCGTGTTGTCCTGAAGCCGTGCCGGCACGCCTGCTTGTGTGAGGAGTGTAGCAATCAGGTGAGCAGAGAATTGACGCCCGTTGATCGTAAAAAAGGATGTGACACCTGGGTTTACATGTCTCTCTGGCTGATATCCTGGTATGGTTGGGACCCTGTAAAAATTATCTGGGTCTGAGGGCGTTGATTACGTTCACCCAGAAGAGCCTGAGTCAATCAATTCGATATGGAAATAGCGGATATAGATTAAAGGTAAATTGTCTGTCTTCCAAGCAGGGGATATGGGTTCGATTCCTGTTATCCGCGATTGCGATCTTTACAGCTAACTTTCTATAGAGGAGAGTTCTTTGTCCCCCTTGGACCTCCCTCCACAGGAAGGGCAACCAAGGCAACCCTCCAAACCCATCTCTTAGGAAGGGGTTGTGTTGCCACCAAAGGAATCTGGCAGTTAGACTGTTGTCGTCCTGTGCAAACTTTTTCGCTGGCACACTCTGCTGGCGAGCCGCGGTCGCAAGAGCGGTTTTCTTTGGGCTCTCGGTCGCTCATGGCGACAGCACGACAGAATAAAGTGGATTGATGATATGAGAGTATAGCTTGCCTGCAGTCGAGGCTGCCTCTGGGCTATGAGTATGCCAACGAGTGGGCTAGCACTAGTAGCCAGCACCTGCGCTTATGTGTGCAAACTTTCAGCCGTCAGCCACAAAAAGATGAAAAGTCGTTCCGGAGCCTACATGTTTCGAAGTGTTCTCTTGCGGGCAGCTTGTGCTCATAACTTCATCAGCGTGGTACGGGAGCTTAAAGAAGAAATGATCAAAAGGATGGTCTTAGTGTGCTCTTCATGTCTGTCTTCTGTATTTTTGTTGTTTGTTCTGCAAAGTACGCTATTTTAATTGATAGACATGTGACAAGATGTATGTATATGAAGGTACATAAAGTAGTTCTCCAGCTGTATATGGTCTCAACTCTGACCCCTTGAACCACCAGCACACTACCCCAGTCTTGTGGATATCTACGAAAACTGCGGAGGCTCGGGGCTACTGGACAGCAGTTGCTGGCGGCGCCAGCGAGAAAGGAAAAAATGTGCGCCTCCAGCAGATCCGCAACCCTTGTGTATGAATGCCAAGTACCAGGACTCGTGATGATTCTCACATAAGCCATGCTTGTGCTGTGAAAGGAAGAGAACACAGAAAGAATGACGACAACGATAGTGGAAGACTGTTTTGCCGGGTGCTTGCCAGCTCATCTGGAGGCTGAACCTCGGACAAGCAGCAGAACCCAATCCCATCTTGGTGCTTGCCAGCTCATCTGGAGATCGTAGTTGGATGGACAAGCGATGAGGTAAGTAAAATGGCAGACAGACGGGCAGGTGGGCAACACGACAAACGTAAACGCAAGCAGCACAACGACAATGAAGGCATGAGCACAGACTGGTCGGCAGGTGGGCAGCTTAGCAGGAAGCTGCGCACAGTGACAAGGCAAGTGTGCGGACAGGATTACAGCACGCACAATGGCAATGCAAGTGTGAGCGTAGGTGGGCAGCTTAGCAGGAAGCTGCGCACAGTGACAAGGCAAGTGTGTGGACAGGATTACAGGTGTGAGACCAGGATTACAGTGGCAAGGCAAGTGTGCGGACAGGATTACAGCGCGCACAGTGGCAATGCAAGTGTGCGCGTAGGTGGACAGCTTAGCAGGCTGCATACACATTTGGGTGTGTTGAAAGGGGGCCTGTAAGTTCGATGATCATATCGCAAGCCCATTGCCCGTCCAAAGAAAAAGAAAAAAGACGCATTCTCCCTTTCCGACAAGTATTTGAGAGCTTTTTCCCAAATTTTCAGAGAATTTCCCCCTTGAAACTCAACTGACGCTTGTTGCGGAATCGCTGTTGGTCCCTGTTGGTGCAGCTTGTTGCTTGTCCCATATGCAGAATAAAAGTGACCGGCCGCGAAAAGTTCATTCTTTCATGAGAACACCCGGAAGTGTGCAGAAGTGACACGGAGAGTGTGTGTGTCAGTGTGTGTGTGTGTGTGTGTGTGTGTGTGTGTATGTGTGTGTGTGTGAGAGAGAGAGGGGGGCGGGGCGGGGGCGGTAGTTTGTGTACACGGAGACAGAACGGGACAACCTGCGCAGGTGCTGGGCTTCGGCCGGCCTGTCCTTGCTCAGCAGTGTCGATGCATGTATATGCGTGTGCGTATGGTGCCGTCCTGTCGTCTGTGATCTTTCCGTGGCTTCCGGATCCCATGCCCAATGTCGTGCGGCAGAAATGAGCATGACTTCGAGGCAGGTGGGAGGGGGGAAAATTGTAAGATGCTGCCTGGTCAGGCCAGCCTGTCTAAATATTTGCAAGGTGCAGCCAGCCTTGATGATGCAACGGCTTCCGGAACGTTCATTGATGCAACGGCTTCCGTAACGTTCATTGCAGGCGTCCATCTTCAGAGCTGTTGGGAGCAAGCTGCACTTCATTTGGAAGTATTGTTCATTCCATTCAGGACTCTTTCAGATTCTGCTTTTCTTTTTCATGTTTGGATTTTGTCAATTCCGTTAATTTTATTTGTTTCCTTGATTTCATCTTATCTCAAGTCTTGAGAGAGAGAGAGAGAGAGAGAGAGAGAGAGAGAGAGGGGGTGGATGGATGGAGGAGGGAGAGAGAAAGAGAGAGAGAGAGAGACAGAGAGAGAGAGAGAGAGAGAGAGAGAGAGGGTGGATGGATGGGGGAGGGAGAGAGAGAGAGAGAGAGAGAGAGAGAGAGAGAGAGAGAGAGAGAGAGAGAGAGGGGTGGATGGATGGGGGAGGGAGAGAGAGAGAGAGAGAGAGAGAGAGAGAGAGAGAGAGAGAGAGAGAGAGGGTGGGTGGTGGGTGGAGAAATGATGTTGCTTTGTTCCTTGCCGGAAGTGGCTTAATTGTAGGGTTTCCTGCATAGAGGATGGCCAGCGCATCATTACTACTTCCGCCTACTGGCCTGTCTCTTCGATTCTCTTTTCCTGCTGTCCCACACCACCATCCCTTTGCCCCCCACCTTTCCCCCCCTGTACGTTTCGGCCCTCTCCGTCTTTTAAGGAAATCATCTCAGAATTTCTTGCATGCTCGGCGTCATTGATTGGCATTTTCGCTTTTGCTGTCTATTTGGCGGTGCAGTTCGTGGTGTAGGATTTGCGAAGAACGGGTAGGTTTCAGTATTAATTCGAGAGTTCTCTTCTTTGGTTGGAAAAGGAGAGAGTTGATTCAATTGCCGGAAAGTCGATCCATCATTGTTCGATAGCCATCCTCCCAGTCGATCATCGTCTGGGGCATTGTTTTTTTCCCCCTGTTGCCCGACTGTTTTGGAATCTTTCTGACTGTCTTTTTTGGTCAGCAGTTTGGAAACTTAGCTGTGCTTCCATTTCCACCCCTCTTCTTTGTGCTTCCATTTCCACCCTTGTCGGTGGTCGACGATGGATATGGAGCATTGCTGGGGGTGGGAAGAATGTCATTGCTCCCAATGCAACTAGACGGGGATGTTCCTATCGATGCGGACTAGCAATCGACTGACATCTCTCTCTCTCTCTCTCTCTCTCTCTCTCTCTCTCTCTCTCTCTCTCTCTCTCTCTCTCTCTCTCTCTCTCTCTCTCTCCAGCTGTGTGTGTGTGTGTGTGTGTTTGTGTGTGTGAATGTTGTCTTTGTCCTACCTACGGTTCCAGTGCCTGCAGACTACAGCTTCTCTCAACCTCCCTTCACTTGGTGACACGTGAATACAGAAGCGCACGTGAATACAGAAGCGCTTCAACAACACGCGCGAGTGGAATAAAAAGGGAACTGGTGCTGTGCTTTTGTATGTGATGATTCAGCTTCCCACCACACAAAGGGACTCGTGGACTCGGTAGCCGCAGTAGGCAACTTGGCTCTCTCGACCTTTGATAGTTCTGGAATATTCACTGGCCTGTCAAATAGCTTCCGCCTCTGGCTTAATTGAGTCTGGACTCTATCATAACCTGGCTGTTATCGTTTCTATATATGGTCCCCTGGGTCGATGAAATCAATATAGATAGAAATCACAGAATCTATGGGACCAATCAGTATAGTCGGTGGTCTGAGGAAGCGCAAGGATGCTTGATTTGTTGTTTTTATTTGGTGACACGCCTTGTCGTACACATATTTTTCTCCTGCCAGAGTGAGACCTTGGGCATCTTGGCATTCTCCAAGTATTATACTACAAGTCTCTTCTTGAGATGCATAACCTATTGACGCCGCGAGATGTCCAAGAATAGCGAGTTGTTTGAATCTTGAGTTGCGCGCTTCTTCTGTTTTTTTTTTTTTTTTTTTTTTTTTTTTTTTTTTTTTTTTCCCTTGGAACACCCGAACGGTTGTAAGGTGTGCTGGTAAGAGCAGTCACACCTAACATCGTCGATGAGGCTCCATCTATTGGTGGGGAGCAGCACCTGCTGGAAATCGGGTCCAGCGTCCCATCGGTTGCGCGCTTCTTTTTGGCTTTTGTTCTATATATGTTTCAGGTTCAGGCGAATCTCTAACATGACAGGGCCTTCCTCATCAGCTGCCACTATCTGGGTTCTCTCAATTTGCTTCCCACGTCTAGTTTGGCGACTCTTGTGCCCAAGACGTTTGCGCTCTGTGTGGAGAGTACTGGCCACCACCTTGTACTCCCTCGACTGGCTTCAACTCGATGTAGTAGGTGTCCTGGTGGCCATATTTTTGTGACCAGCTAGTGAGGGAACTTATTTGACAACCTGCGCTAATTCTTCAACCACCTTAGAGTCTCGCGACCAGAGCAGATTTCAAAATGTCCGACTAAGAGGGACTGCCTCAGTACTCTTAAACCGCCAGTCTGACGTCAGTACTCTTAAGGGTCGGACCTACTGTCTTTGCCCGAACATAACGCATGTGCATTGTAATTGAATACAACATACGGGTTGCTTTCTATTCGAACACAACGCATATATGCGGGCCCCATTCGAACATCGCTTCTTTTTCAAATACAGCACATATGTGTCTATTCGAATTTGTTGAAAACTCGAATACTATGTATATGATAGTATATCTGTCATGTTTGGGGCAAGATTGTATAAGTGCTTATAGCTCTAGTATGTAGAGGCTGCAATTTTATTGGATGGGTGATTGCTTTCGTGTGAACTCTGTAGCACGATATCCACTTCTTCCATTTCGCTGCAATACAGCCCCTATCCCGTAGCGTCGAGCATTTGTAGTCACGATAAATCGTTGGCAGGGGCGAGTCGAGTCGGCTATCTTAAGTCCCCAGTAGCGCCGAGCGTCTTTTTGACGAGGATAAGCTTAGCTAACCCCGGTGGCAGGGAGATCCCTTTGGATTTTGTGTTTTTTTTTCAACTTTTTTGGTACGAACGCCAGCTGGAACAAATGGCGAACTCTTTTGGGTTATTTTAACTATTTATGTGTTTATTAAACTTTATTTATGTTTGCAGTCTGCTGTTTTGAGGAGAGCCGCTGGCCGTCCATCACCAGGTGTTGTCCTCACCACTTCCTGCTCGTGGGCGAAGCGACATGGGTGGTGATGGGGCCACGCACGGCCCTTATTATCGTGCCCTTCAACACTGCGCCGGTCAACGGAGATTCCCTCCGCGGATGGAGGGACTCCTCGAACTGCCCTCCCTCGTTATTGGATATGATCAGTGGCACCAGACAGCCAATCTGATCTCTGTCCAACGTAGCTGGCCTGGACTACCCGCCAATGATGGGGGATATGCGAAACTCTGCTGACGAGCATGTGGGATTCAGACACGAAGCGTCTGCTCTTTGAAATGTCCACGGCCCTTCTGTTGTTCCTATCTAACAATAAATCCTCGCATCTCTGTCCCTTTCTCCCTACTTCTTACCCCCCAGCGCGCACACACACCCCTCTCACGCCGTGTGGCCCCCTTTTCACACGCTTGAAGAAGCCACAGCAATTGGGATGGGGTATGTGCGTCGATGAGCGTCCTTGGTATTCCTGGTGTCTGTGCATGCTCCAGCCTTATCACAGGTGAGGATTCTGTATGCGATTCTGTATGCTTATCATTATTTTTGGAGGGTTGACCTGTTTTCATTTGAGTGTTTTCAAAATGGAGGGGTGGGGGAGGAGGGGTATGGCAACAATATGCCATGCAGGGGGGGTTAAATTTTCAGAGCTCCAATCCGTTGTTGTTGTTGTGTGTGTGTGTGTGTGTGCGTGTGTGTGTGTGTGTGTGTGTGTGTGTGTGTG